AGAAGAGATGTATATTCAGTGAGTTTAATGATTAATTTATTAAGAAGTGGCGAGAGAGTGACTAAAAAAAACGAATGCTGAAAAAAAGTGAAGAATTTGATTAGTAGAAGCAAAAATACAAAGAAAAGTGAAGAATTGAAATCAAACTCCAGGGGGAACCCTGGGTTCCATCCACTGCACCTACAAGGCCAGGTATGCCTGAAATGAAATGAAAACCACTTTTAGTGTCATGCAAGGCATACTCTCGTGCTGGACATTGTAATTATGTGTACGGTGCAACAGAGGTGTGATTAATGCATGCATAGATGCAGGACACAGCAGCCTTGCTGAGGTCATGCGCATCTGTAGGTCTGCAGAAATCCACCAGTGGCATAGAAATGGCGAGCTGTCAGAAGCTGCACGGTGCACTGAGGGCATGATTCTGGTGTGTTCCTCTTTTCATTTATCCTACACCAGACCAGGGGGGCTCATTATTTCACCCCAGGCCAGTCTTATTTTTCTATGAATTGTGCATTCCTGAGATGGTCCAAGGGGTTCATGGCCACCCGCAAAAGCTTCCTGGATAACACTGTCTTCTGTTGGCTTGCATAATTCTCTGCCATTACTGGTAGTGATGGGTGATTCACCTTCCCAATTCGAAAGATGTTACTGAATACATAGCAAGTTTGATTGGTTAGCTCATTATGTAACTTACCAGGGTTGTTCAGAATTTATGAATTGTAGTTTGAATTAACCATACCCTGTAAGATGTTGAATTGGCATGACAAAAGAATTTAATTCATTTAAATTCAATGCAATCATACACTCTATGAATGTCATTTCATCTAGCAAAACACAATTACATAACAGATTTACTTCCAACATGGTAGATGTATATTTATAGCTTATATATGTAGTAGTGAGTGAACTTTATATTTGCATGATTGTAAGATTAAAATTGTATAATTGTTTTAGACTGTTCTAACAATATGCATTTGTGGTTTATGTCAGTCCTTCAAGTACTTTGCCATGTGTATATATTTTATTTTTTATTTACATTTTGCATATTTAACTGTTTATGTGTGCTACCATTGTGAGGTGTTTGCAGTTGCTTTTCCTGTGTCTGGCCCAATAAAAAAGAAGACCTACAAATCCTAATTAGAAATGTAGCACCTTATTCAAATTAATTGCTCAATATGTCAAGTTTCAAGCTGTTTTCCAGTGTAAAAATCTGTTCAAGACTAAGTTGTTCAGTGGTACAGTGGCATAGCTGCTGTAAACCATGTATTTCATATTTGCCTGGCTCAAAATGAAGAACTTCCCATTCCATTTGAAATTATAGCTTCTTATTTAAATGGATGTGTACAATTGCTCACCGTGCTCTCTTGACCGAGATGAAATCAGTTTTAGGTTGGATATTCGACGGATATTCAGATCCACACTCTCCAGACTTACCGGCGGTGCTTCACTCACGCTAGCCGGCATAAGGCGGTCGTAAGACGTCCAGATCAATTCCACAGCCTCAGAGGCGCTCGCGCACCGCTGATTTAGGGACCGTCAACAAATTACTGTCAGAATAATAAAAAGCTGATTGCTTGCAATAACTTCAATGCAATGGGACCCAGTAACTCCAAAATGAGTGCATATTCTACAACTACCTGACATACACAGGACACAGTGAACTTTACTCATTTTTAACACTTTATTGCATTTTCAATTATCATTTTAAAAGGAAAAAGTGGGTAAATAGATTTCTTTCAATAGCTTCTAGGCAATGGGAGCTTATGACGCCCAAATGGGTGCAAATTATTATACTACCTGAGGCCTATAGGACATAGCAATTTTCATTCGATTTTAACCCTTTGTTTAATTGATATGAATTTTTTTCTCTAAAATTTGCCCTTTTTTTCAATAACTCCTAGCCTGTTGGAGCCTGCGACCCAAAACCTAGTACCAATTGTAGTTCTATCAGAGGCCTATAGGACACAGCAACTTTAATTCGATTTTAACCCTTTGTATACTTGATATGATTTTTTTTCTCTAAAAATTAGACTTTTTTTTCAATAGCTCTTAGGCCATGGGAGCCTACAACCTAAAACCTGGTGCCAATTGTAGTACTACCTCAGCCCTATAAGACACAGCAACTTTTGTTTGTATCCTTTCAAGCACTATACAGCGGGGAAAATAAGTATTTGACACATCAGCATTTTTATCAGTAAGGGGATTTCTAAGTGGGCTATTGACACAAAATGTCCACCAGATGTTGCCATCAAGAAAAATATTGAATTCATAGAAAGAAATCAGAACATTTAAGTATACAAGTTGAGTCATAATAAATAAAGTGAAATGACACAGGGAATAAGTATTGAACACATGAAGATAACAAGGTGCAAAATGGCATAGAAAGCCAGATCACCTGAAATCTGTCAGTATTGAGAGAGAAACCCTGCCCTCTATCAGTACTAATTGATATCAGCTGCTTTAGTCCTAATTGATGGCCTATAATGGCTTCTCATTACCCAAGAGGCACACAGGAAAGACTTCATGATGGGTAAGAGCAAAGAACTCTCCCAAGATCTTCGTAATCTTATCGTTGAAAAGCATTCTGATGGGAATGGTTATAGGAGCATTTCCAGAATGCTGAATGTTCCTGTGAGCACTGTGGACCGGAAATGGAAAGAGCATCAGTTCACCATAAACCGGCCACAATCAGGTGCTCCACGTAAGATCCCTGTTCCGAGGAGTCCAAAGAATAATC